TTTATTTCTTCATGCATTGGGTCATATTCAGATATTACCTGTGTTCTTTAACATGTGTTGTGTATCAGGTAACAAAGGTTAAACTCTGTCTTATAAACATGCCTGAATATCCTAGTTGTTCATTCCTTGATTTTGAAATTTAAACCAATTTGATGATATAGGAATGTTTCTTTTTCTTTGTTTAAAACTAACTGAAACAAAGAATGCAGTGATTCTGGGGAAGGTGTTCCTAAAATTATGCACAACCTATCAGAGTTGGAAACACTGAATAGCTAATCAACTGTTAGGTGAGGAGAACCAATCAGTACTCTGGCTCCACCTCCAAAGGGTAGGGCCAACAGCCAAGCAAAACCGTGCACCTCAAATTTCGGAGAGTTCTACGTTCTCAACAAGAAGATAGCTAAGTTTCTAAGTTTGTGCCGGCCTTGGTCAGAAAGACAGGTCAGAAGTATTAGAATGCTAAAATTTCAGATCTGAAACCTTTGTTTGTTTTGTAACTGTTGTCTGTTCGTCTACACACCTTAAGTAAACCACCCTTAGAGAAGGAAGGTGAATGGCTCTCGTCTGGCCAGGAGAAGTCGTTCATGTTTCTGACTTTGCCAAAGGTAGTTAGTTAGTTAAATTAGTATCACCAGCCTCAGAACCCTGATTGCTATCTAAACCTCGCCAGCAGAGTGGGAGCAGTTCTGATGCCACAGAGACCCGGCATCACACCCAGAGCCACGCACTAACTTGTGAGCAGATTGACCATGGAAGGGCTGCCCAAGCTCTACCATCAGGCGGTCATGAGACGCCTCTGCCCAATCACTGATGGAAAGGTGCGTGCCTGGACGGAGACGCAGCATCCACGAACAACGAGGAGACGAATCAACGTGTGAGCTCCAGCCTTTGATCGAGCCGGTCCTGAGACGACCCCGCCTGAAGTCAGCCCCCGACTCCAACGTAAGCTGGTTCCATCAATTTGCAGTCAGGGCCCTGATGCCAATTTATTTAATAAGAGAACGTTTATAGGTATATCCAGCCATATGCTTATTCCCATCCAGACTTAGGTTAATTCTCTAGAGGCTCTCTCATGTGTAAGTTTCGAGCAACTTCTCAAGAACCACACTGCCTCATTAACTGTGAATCACTTTTCCTCACTTTTTTGTCCTTTTGACTTTTATTACTATTATTATTTGTTTTGTTTTTGTTTTATTTTCTGTTGTTTATCATTGAATGTAGTCCAAAAGTAGTTGGATATTTAGCCAATAAATTCCCTTTTACTGAAGCATCCTTGGTGCGAGCGTTTCTCTCTCTTGTCCTGGTCTGTAGACTTCAAATAAATCCGGATTACCCCACACTCTTATCTAAGGTTCTAACAATAATAACATTAAAATTGCAAAACCCGTTACACACCCCTTAAAATGACAGGCTCATTACATACTAAAGCTTATTATTCAGTAACTAAAGGGACTTCAATGTAAACTGGCAGAGCTATTCTTAGCTTATAGACATGTGTAATAAAACTTTGACCATGTAACAGCTTAAATGGGAAAAACTGACATAGTATAAAAGATGAAGTCCTTACTGCTAATGAATCAAGAGTTTTTATGAATCAGAAGGGAGCATCACTTTAGACGGCTGTATGTGATATTAACAAAATATTATTCTGTGTGGAACCAAAAGTCAGTAAGTCACAAGAAATCCATGTGTATCGTGAGTTATTCATAAAAAGGGCAGTTCAGATGATGTAAAAGGTGGGGTTTATGAACTACAGCACTGCTTATTTCAGTCACATGGTGGCACAGTTAGTCCCTTATAAAATAATGATTAAACCCACAATTTCATATCTTAATGGTGTGGTAAAGCAGAAGGAGAGTAGAGCAGGGTGTAAACCTGACATATTTTGTTAAAAATTTAGCCCATGTACAGTTTAGCCCATGAGTGGGTTCACTGTAACAGACAGAAGGTCAGTTTAACACTTGCTAGAAAAGTCTTTTAAGTGAATTAGTGTGAACAAACTTATTTCAATACAATTCAATGTTGTAAGAAACAAATATATTTTCCAACCAAACTGCATTATATATTGTCCATCTATAAGACAGGCAGATAGATCAATTATTAGATACACACATCAAATTATATATAAACACTGATATGAGACTGTGTGTCAAATAATGACAAACATCACACTTCAGTTAGGTATGGAACATTTTTTTCTGAATAACTACAGCTTTACCAGCTGTTAATGTCAATTTCAGTATTATATTTATTTAAAACCGAAATACTGTTATCTGAAAGATACTAATAAAGCAAAAGAAAGGTCCTGTTTTCAGATGTTGCTCTTTTTCATCTTAAAATCTGTGTAAACATATGGAACAAAATTTACTTCATTTGTCTTTGTTTACTAAAGGTGGCTTAGTTGTATCTGTGTATAACAGCATGGAGGCAGTACTTAAGCCCTGCTAGTGCTTACTGTGAGCTTGTCTGCTGCTTCAAAATAGTGTTACGTTGAAGGGAAGATGATGATATAAGGTAATATAAATAATATAAGTAATATAAGGTTGGACTCTGTGATTTACACAAAGAGCTCAGTAACTGAAAAAATGTGTTGAAAAATAATATTTACATGCCTTGAAAACACTCTTTGGCGCAGATCTCTTCAAAACACTGACCAATCACTCTGAATTTTGGTGGGAGACTGAGACTGGTACATGTGGTAATGTGTCCAGAAGCACATGCTACTTGACCTTGTATAACAGCATAAAGGTCAGTGTTAAATTGTGCCCTGTGTTAGATTGTTCCCCTATAATTTCCACTAGAGAAAGAGAGTGGTTTAATATGGTTGCAATCAAAAAGTAACAGTGCAGTGCAGTGAAACAATCCGGGGTCTTCAGAGTCTTTTTTCATGGCCCTGCAGTTGCTTACGACTTCTGACCCCTGGAGGGAGAGTTTCCATGGTGACAGGAAGGAAAAGAGGGAGAGACAGACAGGGATTTCCAAAGTGATAAAACTTAGTTTGTTTCCTGATTTTCAATTTGATAAGACAGCAAGTTTCCCGACAGGCCAGTGCCAGATTTGGATGCTACCTGGAACTTTGGTGGGAAGTCAACTTTGTTCCAAAAGGGATGTATTTAGTTCAGTTCCTGAATGAAGCAGATAGCTAAGTCTGCTACAGTCCAATGTAGCAATGTAACTTTTGGAAGAACAGATACAGAATCAGCACCGAAAGTCAACTGAATATAAACCAACACACACATTTTTATTACTAAATGACAATATTTCGATCTGCCCAGTTAAGACGTCATGGGAGGAAGAAACCTGATTCTCAACCAGCAGCGAGCAAGTTTTATTTTAAATGAAAAATGTAGTGCAGTGCTCAAACCCAGATTACCTGTGGGCCACTAGCCAGGTGGTCTTCTTGAAGAGGGTCAATAGAAAAATTTGTTTATCATCTGAGTCTGAATTTTAACTTCATATGGTAACTAATGGTTTCTGCTTTTGCTACTCTAAGATTTCATGACATTTTGGGCCGATTAACAACAAACCTCCTGGGGGACCATGCCCCAGACCCCACCACCCCCCAGTAAAGGCTCAACCTCACATCCAAAAATTTCTAGTGAAACTGCTTAAACCAAACTACCTTTATTTTGACTTGGGAATACATTCAGGATGATTAATTTGCAGTGCTGCTAAGCGTAAATGTCACACATCCTCCCAGCTCTGGGATTTGGTAAGACTCCATTTCCAAGAACTCTCTGGGAGACCACATGACCCATGAATTTCCACAATCCACCAATCATAATTACAGTTCACCTGAATACTAACCTGTTTTACCTGATATGTATGTCATGTGACTAGATTTAGCTTAGTATATAAGCCCGGTTTAGGTTTAGTTTAGTTTTTTTGTGAGGTATTGCTTCTCTCCATAGAGTTTCTGAGTGTTTCTGTCTGTTATATTGCCTTTGTGTTTTTTCTGAATGTATTTTTGGACTTCTTGACTTTGCCTTTTTGTCTTTGTCATTTTGGATCTGGTTGGCTCTGTCCTGTTACAGTAACAGTAAAGATAATGCAGTGACACTACCAGGGAATGAAAAACGTATAAATGAAAGTATAAAAGTACCAATGAAGTGTAATCAACTAATACAAGTACATCTATCAACACTTTAACCTCACACACACACACACACACACACACACACAAAATCTAAACACCCTGGACAGGCTACCAGTCACAGGGCAGGCATACAGACATGCAGACGTACACACATCCAGGGGCAATTTAGGTTCTCCATTTTGGGAGGAAACCCACACAGACACGGGGAAAACAACTCCACACAGAAAGGACCCCCCGGCTGAGAAACTGAGCCCAGGCCCTTCTTGCTGTGCGCTACCCACTGCGCCACAGTGCTGCCCCAAAACTTAAATGAGCAATTAAATTTAGGATAAAGCTAAAAAATAATAAGAAAAGATAAAATTGTAGCTAGAACCAAGTAGAATAATAAGCAACTAAGAGCAATTTAAATGATTACATTTTAAGTATTAAAACAAATCAAACAAATTAAATAAGAACCAAGAACTTAGATCAAATTAGGTTGCAGACTGACTTTGCAGGTGATATGCTATATACTATATGAGTCTTGTAGATAAACAGAGGACAGTGTCTTTCAGAGTTCATTCAGAGTAGTGATATTCAGAGAGTCAAAATTGAAGACAACATTGAAGGTTAAATTTAGTTCTTCTTTGCATTTAAAAATGAATGCATGCTTGTAGAGACCAGATTGCACTGTATTGAAGGAGCACTGTAAGTTTTTCATTGCTGTGTGATTCAGCAGAACATGTGTATAAAGTGCACTTTATCAGAGACAGCAGTACAACTAATATCACACACAAACACTTTTGCAGAGTGACGTATAATTTAACTGGCTTATGCAGTAGACAAACCCTGCTTCATCTGAACAAGCACTCTGCTGTCCTTACCAGGAATAATGGGGCTGGGTGGGACCACTTCCTGATGACCTATTTGAAGGCAGACTGGTTGGTGGTGTGTAACTTAGCGCTGATGCCAAAGCTGATTTTTCACACTCAAAGTGTAGGTTCTCATCCTTTGTTGTCTGCTATTGTGCTCTGTACAGCGTGAATTAGAAATGTCACTGCAGCAGATTCTAAAGACAGCTAAGCTAAATTTGTCCACAGAGAATGGAGTTTTGATGTTAATCTTAATTGGCCTTGTTGTTGTAGAACACTTTGTCGAGAGAGACTTTGAGTGCATTTGTCAAGACATCTTTAGAGGATTCTTTTTCTTTTTCTACCTAGCGATACCTGCCTTTGTCATTTTCACTGTCACATTTTGCGTTATGCGTGAGCTGGGAAGGCAGAGAGCTAAAGAAGATACTAAAAAGCAGGAATCTAATGAGAAGCAGACATCTGCTGGGGGAGCTCAAAATCAGGAATCTAATCCATGTTCACTTGCTCTGCTGTGTTGTATTCCAAGTTTCTTCTGGATACTCTTGTTCTTCATTGACGGAAGATATATGGCGTGTCTGGCTACTACACTGAAGGGAGACTATGCTGACAGCAAACCACATCCTCCATGGGAATGGTGTGACACAAACCGAACACTGACTGCTGACCAGTGGCATGCACAGAAAGCATATATCTGGTCTAGGGTAAGCTGTTTACAGTCAAATGTAGTTGATCATGATGTGAAATGTTCTGGCTGTATAATGTAGAACCATCCTTTTCAAAACTTTCATCTACAGATTTGTATTGTTTTCTGCAGCCTCAGTTCTAGATTACTTTGACAGAAACAATTTTCAAAGTTATACACTCTTAAAAACAACTTTGAGAAAAGCTACTGACTTAGCAGCAATTTCAGTTGTTTTGTTATAACCAAACTGACCGTTTAGCAGAAACACTGAACACATTCATGATTAGGAAAACTAAAGCATGTAAAGTACATCCTAACCTCGATGTATAAAATGTACATGTGTTTGAAAACAACATCGGAAGGAAAAATTATAGACAATAGGCAAAAATCAACCGACAGAAATAAACAAAAAGTCAACTCACTAGGAATTCTGGGTGACTCCACCCCCGTACTCTCTCACCACTTGTCTTTTTGAACGTGTTCTTTTCACAAAATAAGTACACTTAAATTTTCAACCACACAGTACAAACAACTTGCCTGAATTGAGTGATAACAACTAATTGCAAGAAAGTAATTATAACTTGATTATTTAAGCACAAATAACATCAGGGCTTTCGGTGTGGAGGAGAATGTTACTCTTTCCAGAAACAGACTGCTTTGACTGTTTTAACAAAGTTGAATGCCTCAACATTTTGCCTATTATTGCCAATAATATCCCTTAAAATCTTTTCAGAAGTTCTTTGTCTAGAGAGTCTGTGAGCTAAAAATGCGAGGATTTTGATGGTAGTTCATTCTTTTGCTTTTTATTGAGAAAAAACAAATGCTTGTCATAAGGTAGCCATGTTTGTTTATTGATTGTCTGTCCTCTTGGATTCATGCTGAGTGGTAAAATAAGCAAGACATGCTTTAATATTAATTTCAAACTGTTGTTGCCATATGAAGGCTAAAGCAGAGCGCAAATAGCAAGTTTTGCAGTGGATTTTGGGTGGCGTTTGGAGCTGGATTGCAGGCTGAAGGATGGTCACAGGTGGATGAAATCACTCTGGTTTTTGAGGGCAGAGTCTGATGAGACTATTTTAACCCTTTGTTGGAATATCAAGGCTAATAGCAGAGCAATAATATAAGGAGTCTATGTGTTTTTTTCAGTTGGATTACTCACCAATGTTGCCGTCACATCTCAATGATGTCATGCTGGCCACTAGCAAGGGCAGGGTATGGTCTGCTGAGTGTTCTGATGTGTGCACCATATCTGTAGCTTAAACTGTGCTGAAGTTGTGAAGACTAGAAGGCAGCTATGCATGTTGCTTCAAGTTCAAGGATTAAACTGAGATAAACAGTTATTCAGACTTCTACAGAGCAGATCTGTGTTTGCTTGTTCCAGTTGGTGGGTTTTATTGTCCTCTGGTTATGCTCAGCTGGAATACTGTGGATTGAATATCGTGGAGCCTCCAGTGTACAGGTCAGTAGTGCATCTGCAGTAGTGAACAACTAGATATTCTCATGACCAAACTATTCTCTTTACAGCCATCATTAAACTCTGTTCATAGATGAACTACAGATAAACTACAGTAACAAATCATAATGCTGGCATTATTTTGACTAATGAAGCAGCAAACGCTGGTTTATTCATTTAAAAAGCACAGATCGAGCAGAAAAATGCTGCTACACAGGTAAGCAGGAGAAAGCAGACACCTACACAAGTAAATTTAGCCATCATGAAGCTGTCTTCATAGATAAACTACAGATAAACTGCAGTAACAAATCAGCTGTGAGAGTCTGATCACACTGTAATCAATAATCAGTAAAGCTCGCTGTGATAAACTGCTCTGCTGAACAGACCAGAGAGAACACTGATCAAAACCTTAATTTTTGCTTAGTGAGGCAGTAAACACTTCTATACATTAGATAAATGCAGTTAACATCTACACTGATATACGCTGCAGTGGTGAGCAACTAAATATTCTTATGATCAAACTGTTCTCTTCACAGACCACAGCAGAGCAGGACACTGACAAGAGGCAGGTAAGCAGGAGACAGCAGACACCTACACATGTAAATTAATCCATCATCAAACACTGTTCATAGATAAACTACAGTAACAAATCAGCTGTGAGAGTCTGATCACACTGTAATCAATAATCAGTAAAGCTCACTGTGATAAACTGACGCTGATCAAAACCTTAACACTGATTTTTGAATAATGAAGCAGCAAACATTGGTTTTGAAACACATCTACATCAGTGTAGTACAGCACTGCAGTGGAGAACAACTAGACATCCTCATGATCAAACTGTTCTCTTCACAGGCCGAGGGAATAGTCTGAAACGACTCCACTGCAGGACACTGCCAGTACAGAGGAAAGCAGAAAATAGCAGACATGTACACATGTAAATTTAGACGCTGAGCTGTCATCAAAGTCTGCACAGCTTTTTTAGAATGAAGAGCTAACAAGAAAGCATCAGCTCATCACTGTAAAGGTTTATCCTCTTTAAACTCTTTTTATGCTTTTTATAAACAGATTTTTTTTTTGCATCATTCATGCATTCTTTTGTTGATGTAAATTCCTGTGGGAAATTTGAGTGAGTAAGAATCATTATTGCATTAATTTTTAAACATAACCATTGTATGGTGTTGATGTGTTTGTTACTCAGTGGTCTGGTGGACCCTCCACATTATTGTTTTTATAAATCAATACAGCCATAACAATTTATGTAAAAATACCAGATGTTTCAAATATCACCAATGTCCAGCGTAGGGTTCTCCTTTAGCAGCTGTAGCCAGTCAGCAGCCTGTCCATGTTGTTCACCCTCACACACACACACACACACACACACACATATACAAACACACACATATACAAACACATACACACACAGACACACACACTAACAGCAGGCCATGTAGGAGGAAAACAGAGTGAAGGACACAGCACCTCCACACTTTTACTTCCCGCGGGTTCAGCCCAACACCACATGTGTAATATAAATGTGTGGGGGGTGAACAGAGTGAAGACACTGAAAATGGGTTATTTTATATGTTCTTCACAGAAAATGAGCAAAGGCCAAGAATCTGAGATAATAATAAATCACATTTTTTCTTTTGGTAAACACTGAAAATGAGTCCCACAGACCTGAACACTTGAACACACATGGAAAAATAAAAAAACTACTATAACAAACAATGTGAAATAAACCAATTGAATCAAAGTAAAGAAAGAAATGTAAAAGATATAAAAACATATATCTCAGTAGGTCAAATGAAATCAGACAGTACTATCAAATTGCCTGAATAAAAAACAGAAGTAAGATTAGTTATAACATCATGAAAGGACAGCATACAACAGCGAACTTATCTGTCTAGAGTTTACATCATATTAAATTCTAGAAGTTTATACTTTGATGATTATTTACACTTTGATGATTCCTGGGTTGGGATTGAGAGGCTCAACCATTAGCATCAGTCATTGGTGGTCTTCTCTGGGGATTGCAGACAAAAACCAGTGCACCAGATCTTAACATGCGTTGTTTAGTCTTCTGACGAGAAAGGTAATGACTGAGTCCTTGGTCTGGAGATAAGGCAGGTCCTCTCCTCCATGACAGCAGTAGATCTTATGGTTTCATGGTCTGGGTCCCTTCAGGAGAAGCTGCAGATGCTCTAATTCTATAATCCAGAAGTGGCCAGAAGGCATGGTCTGTAGTTCTTACAGTCTGTAATAATATGTGATCATTTCACAATAAAGGACTAAAAAGGATTTTTTTTCAATTGTGAATCATCGTCTGCACTGCAATTTAATCCAGGACTAGACTGATTTTCTATAGTAAATCAGCTGTAGATCAGAGCTCTAATCACATCTTCAGGAGAGAGTGCCAAATACTTAAAAGAAAAGCTTTATTTACAGATTTCCCCACAACCTCCATTCGGCTTAAAATACACCTAAGAAACCTCCCCACAGAAACTCTCAGGTAGTAAACTGTCACTGGGGTGGTATCCTCAAGGGTACACCTTCAGTACTTTAAATTTGGGAGCATAACTGTAACAGAATCCATTTTAATACATTTTCTTTAAATTGCACGGATTCTATACACCTTGTCTTGACTCCAAGTTGTTTATTTTATTGTTCAGTTTCAAAGCAAATATATTCCTTTCCCCTAAGAAAACTTTCTTGTAGTCCTCTGCTTCCCTCTAGTGGCACTTGGTTACATTACAGTCTTCATCTTCCTGCTTGCTACAGAGAACCAGCTGGCAGTTGTTGTGAGCTGCACTGACATCAGGGACAAAATAAGGCATTTGAGGAAAAAAGAATCCAGTTAATCCACAGTCAGCTTGTGACCGAACTCCATTAGGAGACACGAAGTCACTGGGTAGGTTGTGACTGAATGGTGAAAGAGATGAGTTTGTAGGTGGGAAGATGTGATGACTCCAGGTAGTTCAGTTCAATTGGTCAGTGACTATTTACACACAAAAGACAAACTGGGTACCACTTTATATTGTGTCTCAAATAATGGTGTAGTTACATGTGAACAACATATGCAACAACAATGTAACTACTAATGATTTAGTCATTGTTACAGATGGACACCTTATGTTATTACACATGTGTATTAACTTCAGTATTGCCTCATGTAATTACACAAGTGTATCTTAAGAGTTGTAACAGCCTATTCTCTCTCATGTAATTACACAGGAATAATAACATAATTGTAATTATGTTTGTAATTAGACTGGAACAGCAGTTTTTTCAAAAGTTTTTTTTTCTTTTTTTTTTTCCCCAGCAGTAAAAAGAAGTATGTAATAACTTACATTAAGGCATTACTTACACTGTATATGTCAGCTTTCCTAACATTTAGCCAGCATTTATGTTGCCAGTGCTGTGACACTGTTACCAGTTTCAGCTGTAAACCATTCTGTAATGTGACAGTAGAGCATTACATTTCCCCCAAAGCAATGTCTATATTACCACTCCATTATTACACAGTACCTACATAACAACTAGACAGGAACTGTCCACTTATTTTAAAATGTAACTTTAACACTGCACTACAGGAACGTTCCTGTGTAGAAGATACGCTTGTGTAATTACATAGGCTGTACTTCTGTAATCCATCTGCAACACTGAATAAGTCACCAGTAGTTACATTGTTGTTGCATGTGTTATTTATGTGTAACTACACAGTTATTAAAGACACTTTACATAAAGTGGGACCAAAAACTGTACAGACGAAAGTAAGTGGTAGTTTAGAAGTGTTATCCTGACTCTACAGCAGTGCAGGGTAAGTATATTTAGTTTTAGGCCACAAGGCTGTGGAACAACAATTTGAGTTAGCTCTACTCACATTGTCCCGCAGCTTTCTCACAGCCTGAGGTGAGCTAACATGGGACATTACTACACTTTACAGTATAATTTTTTCTTGAGTCAATGCACTCAGTCTACTTTACCGAGAGAGTTTCGCTGATTGCTTAAGAAGAGGCTGCATTTAACTGCCCCAAACCAGGGGGTGGCGCCAGATCCATTCAATATTCTTCGCACCCCTCTCTGCAGAAACATGCTTAGTACAGCTCATTTAATATATAATAATATAATAATAATAATATATTTAATACCCAAAACACTCTACAGCTACTTAAATACTGGAGCAACATCTCAGAATACATTATATCCATTGAAACACAAACACTAGAGTTCGTACAACAGCAATACTTTATCAAACACAGCACTGTCATGTTAGAAAAGCTAATAGCTTTGCATTAAGGCAGATACTCGTTTATGTAAATCTATGAAGCATTAAAGAGTTTTTTGTTCTGTAGTTTTGTTGTGTTTATGTTTATTGCTCTTTGGCATATCATGTAAACAAAACTGCAAAACTGGGACAGGACAGAAGTGTTTAAATTAATGTAGTGAAGTTAAATTAATGTAATGAAGGTCGAATTAATGTAAAACATTAATGGTGTTCCTCTAAAACTTTGCACTGTTTTGTTATTTTCAAACTTTGAATTGAATAAAAGCAGTCAAATATCTTGTTACCACATGAAAATATTTTAGGTTCAACTGCTGAAAAACTCAAATACCTCATAAAACATTACACAACAGACCTGTTTATCTTTATTGTACAGGAACAAATGAAGAAAAATAAATTAAAAAGTCCAGCACTTTATATTATCCAGCACAGAAATGTGAGTGTAAATGCTTTCTTTACCTGCTCTGCGTTATTTGGTCACATGTTCTCATCACACCTAATGTCCTCTCTTGCTTATATACATAAACATAATTACTCACTTATTATGTACTGGGTCCATAATGGACCATCCATTGTGAACAAAAATCTCCAGAAGTGACCCCATTTTTATAGATAGTCAACACCTGGTAGAACTTCAGTTGAGATGGGAATCAGCTGTGATTGGCCATTACATTATAATTTTCTCTTTAATTATCATTATTATTACTATTAGTAGTAGTGTAATTGTTAGTTGTTCAGTATACAGTTTGTGTGATTTAGTGAACTGATATGCAGTTTATATTCATGTTCAGTTCCTCTGCACCACCTCTTCACCTCCTACAGTGAACAAGCTGGGAGTTATTGAAGCTGCACTGACAGATCAGTTTCAGACATGTGCAGTTTCTAAATGAGAACTGTTTTTGTAGGATTTGTAGAGCCTGTGAAATCTAATCTATCAGTATTTCCCTCTCCCACCCCAAACCCACACACATTTCCCCTTCTTATTCTATCATAAACGTGAGAGTCCTGTGGCAATTCGAATCATACTTAACACAGCCGTTGCAATGAATAGGCTAAACTATTCTGCATTACAGTTTTCTCTAAGAAGAAAACTCTTCACACCGCCCCCCCCCTTCACACAGCAGTTAAAAAAGTTTGTATGTAAGTTGAATAAAACTAGTTAATATACATGTTACCAATGCTTTATTTAGGTTGAATTGACAGTCCATTTTTTTAAAGAATCAGAATCAGAATCAGAATCAAGCTTTATTGGCCAGGTTTGCTTACACATGCAAGGAACTTGGTTTTGGTTACAGGAGCTCACAGAGCACTTTATCTGACAAACATTTACGTGTAGTAAATAAAATAACATAACCTAATATAACACAACATATATTGTAAAAAGTGTCTCGTCAGATCTACTTAAAAATGACTTCATGTGGTAACAAGTAAAAGAATCCTTCATTCAAAGTATTTATTTAGGTTGAATAAAACTAGTTATTTTACTTGTTACCAGCAACTATCTGATGGCTACTTCATAGATCTACATAAAACAGTGGATCCAAAGTAATGCGAGCAGTTATTAGTGTTTCTGAGCTGACTGTGCTGTGACTGATAAAGTGTTCCTGTTATAAGAACTCTAGTCTTGTTTTGATGGAATAAATGTGTTTTGTGATTCAGAGAGGGGTGTGCAGAGCTGGATGTGTTGGCTGTGGTTTTAGCCTATCACAAGGTGTGAAGTGTTCAAATGATATCATCTCATATTCTTCTGCTCAGCAACGAACAAGTCCTGCAACAAACTTTTTTTTTGTTTTTGATTTAATTTAGTTTGGGTGAGTTATTTTCAGCAATGTAGACATCACAAGAATACTTTAATCATACTACTACTACTACTACTAATAATAATAATAATAGTAATAACATCTATATTTATACGCACTTTACATACCGGTGGCAGCTGAAAGTGCTTTACAGACAGGTCATAATATTTTACAGTAATACAAATGACAACGCCAGATCAAATTAAAAAGAAGTACCAAAAAGACATGTATAATGCTATTTAAAGAGTGTTTTTGAATGTTTATAAAAGTGAGCACTGAGAAAGATACAGACAGCCAGTGCAGCTCTTTTAAAGCGGGACTGATCTGATCTGTCTGTGTTGTTTTTGTTAGGATGCTGATTCATTTTGTATGAGTTGTAAAGGATGTATTGTTTTCTTAGGAAGTCCAGTAAGAAGATCATTACAGTGATTAACTCTGCTGGAACAAACACATGAACAAGTTTCTCTGCATCGCTCTGAGAGAGAAAAAGCCAAACTTAAGTGATTCTCTCAGATGATACAAAGCTACTGCAGTGACTGTGTTTACATGCAGATAAAACAGCTCAGAGTCTAAGATCACACCCAGGTTTCCTACTTCAGGTTTGGTGTATGAAGCTAAAGAACCATGTTTCTCATAAAGCACTTTTCTCTGAGTTTCTTTATTTTAGTTTTTTTGTTTAATTTTGTGACATCCACTGAGAAATATCTGACACAGCTGGTTAGTCTGTCTACAGAGTCTTGATCATCAGAAGGAATGGAAATGTATAATTGCATGTCATCAGCATAATTATGAAAATTTTTACAGGGATATTAACTCGAAAGAGGCCCCGAATATTCTGTTTTAATTCCCGTAGGATGAAGCAAACTGAACCAAAAATACGCTACATACCTTGACATACATGTAATTGATTGCATTACATGCGATGCTGGAAGTGATCTCCCTTTTCGACGCTTTACTCCATGTTCCTGAACGTATCGGGCAAGCATTAGAGAGGCTAAACATTGCGAAGGCTGTCTGGCACCTACCTCATCACTCCGACGCAGGGGCATCCTGGCTTGTTCGAAGCTCCATATAGTGAGAAGCACATTGCACGTTGTTTCGTTCAGATTGCTCTTTGGGGCCTCTTTCGAGTGAATCTCCCTGTATTATGTTTCCTAATGACATCACTTAGAGGTAGCATGTACAAAGAGAGGAGCAATGGCCCTAAAACTGAACCTTGTGGGACTCCACAAGAAATGCCAAATCTCTTTGAGAAAAGATTTCCTAGTGAAACCAAGAAAAGAAGGATTTTGTGCATCAGCGCTGAGCCTGAGGTCATTCACAACATGAACTGCCTCTGTAATATGGTTAAAACAAAACCTTGATGGAAACTTCTCACATAACTTGTTTGATATCAGATACACATTTAATTGTTTGAAAGTAACCAACTAAGACTTAAAAAGCAAGATTAGAAATTGGTCTAAATTTGTTCAGTATGGAAGGATCCATGCTACTCTTTTTTAGCAAAGGCTTCATCAGGGCAATTTTAACAGCATCTAGAAAAAAACATGTTGACAGAGAACAATTTATAATAGCTAAAATATCACTTCAAACACAATAAAAAATCAAGCTCCTGATAATTGATGTCATTCCTTATGTAGGTGGCTTATCAGAAAGGTTATAGGAGCTTGTTTGAAAATGAACTGCGATCTGCTGTCCTGTGTTTTGGTGAAAAACCCATTTGACCATTTGATAGTGCATTGTGTTCTATTAAATATGTTAATAATCTAGTGTTCACTTTGCTACAGAAAACTTTATATTAATATTCACGCAGTTACCAGAGCCAAATTATATTGGGGTAGTGAGTCTTCTATTCTGGATCACAGGGAAAATTCCACTTCCTAGCACTAGATTATACAGCTTTAGAGTGGCCAGCTGTAATTAGGGACTACTGTGTTAACATTTTACCTTCCACTGAGTTTTTCTTGTAGCTGTTGTATGGTAATGAGTAAGTCTAGAGGGCAGTGGTTATCTTTTACTGCTGACACTTAAAGAACCCGTTGCATGATTAAAGGGTTCTTTGCATCATGAAAGGGGTCTTCAGATTGATGGAGAATGTGCTATAGACTCTTCTATATTCTTCTATTGTGATGGTGTCAAGCTATATAATAGAAGATAATAATAATAGAAGAACCCTTTTGGGTGCTATATAGAACCATCTATAGCACATTCATGCAATTCTCCATCATTCTGTGGTGATTTGTGTTGTGTCTGTGTGTATGTTGTGTGTAGGTTAGTGTTGCGGAAGATCAGGAGTCATGTGGTCCCCCAGAGGATTCTGGAAGATGGACTCCTTGAAGGTCTCTGAGCGAGAGGGATGTGTGACAGTACCCCTCCCAGTCCACCAAGTACTGGAGCTGTCCTCCATGCTTCCAGGAGTCCAGCAACTGACAGACTGCATAAAGGATGGCATAAACGTGTGCTCCCTCTTTCTCCTTTGGAGGGGGTGGTATGACGTCAGGTGTAGCCTTGTCCAACGGTGCTGAAATGACAGGTTTTAGAAGTGAGACATGGAATGAACATGGTACTCTGAAACAGGGGGAAAATCAAGTTTGTCTGTTACTTCATTTATTCGTTTAAGCACTTTAAATGGGCCGATATGCTTCCTTCAGTGGACCTGATGTCTCTTGTCGAGAGTCACATGCGATCTCCAGGTTGGTAGATGGGTGTCTCTCCTCGGTGATGGACTGCTTGCTCTATATTGCATTGCAGTGTGGCCTCAATCCTCTGATGGGTCTCCTCCCAGACCCTCTCGTTAAAGCTAAAGCTTTACACTTTTATTTAAGACTGCCAGCTTTTAAAGTTGTCTGCTTTGGTCACACTTTTTATTGTCTCTAATAACAATGAATAAAATATGCAACAAGACTGTAACTATTGATGATTTAGCCAATGTTACAGATGAATTATAGAAGTGCAGTCTATGTAATTACACATGTGTAGCAACTTCAGTTTTGCCTCATGTTATTACACAAGTGTATCTTTTCGATACATGACAGATCAGAAGACTTTTAGAGCAGTTAAAGAAAGTATGTTTTACATAACATTACATTTATGTATTACAGAATTACTGCTCAATAACTGTGTTGTAACAAGGCAACCTTCTGCAATTACACTGTATATTTATAACAATTACACAGGAACTTTCCTGTAGTGCAGGGTTAAAGTTACAGTTTAAAATATATGGGCAGTTCCTGTGTAGTTGGTATGTAGGTACTGTGTAATAATGGAGTGGTAATATAGACAATGCTTTGGGGGAAATGAGTTAGAGTATCACAGCACTAGCAACATAAATGCTAGCTAAATGTTAGGAAAGCTGGCAGATACAGTAAAGGAGCGTCTTTATGTAAGTTATTACATTCTTCCTTTAGCAGCTGGAAAAACATCTGAAAAAAAAACTGCTGTTTCAGTCTGATTACAAGTGTAATTACATTTGTGTTATTGCCCCTGTGTAATTACATGAGAAAGAATAGGCTGTTACAACTATTAAGATACACTTGTGTAATCACATGAAGCAAAACTGAAGTTGATACACATGGTAATTACATAGGCTGTACTTCTGTATTCCATCTGTAACACTGGCTAAATCATTAGTAGTTACAATGTGGTTGCATATGTTGTTCACACTACACAGTTACACAGAGACACTTAACATAAAGGTGGGACATCAGCTTTTATTTAAAACCATAAACTTTTATGTAAAACTGTCAGCTTATATTTAAGATTGTTATTTGTTTTTATTTAAACCAGTCAGCTTTTGTAAGGGATGCTTTGCTTTTGTTTTCTTTTGTCTTTCCTTTTTGTAAAAGTAGTCTGACTCTTCTGGGCCACTGTAAGTGGGTGGGCACACAGGTTTCCTGTTTTACTCTTGTAGCAGCTGATATGATCTTATGATCTTCATATATCCCTGCAGATGGAACGTGAGTCTTCAAGCTGACGGACTCTGTAAGGGTTAGTTCTGATTCTGATTTAGTGGTGTTGTGTTACTCATAAGCTTTAGAAATGGATCTGAGTAAGTGGAGCGATTTCTTTAAACAGTACCCTTACAGTAGCAGTGTGTTCTTCAGCCTCATTCTTGTGGCTATGGAGAAAGTTGTTGAGAAAGAATTTGTGTGCCCTTGTAAAACCGGATTTACAGTGGCACTTTTCTGTTGTTACTTACTGGTGCCCATGGTCATCACTTTTGCCTTTGGATTTTACCTTCTGAGCATTGAATGTGTTTGCTCACCATATGAAGAACGTTGTATAAATTTCCTGAAATTTCTGGCCTGTATGGTTCCATCTGTTGTTTGGCTGGCCTTGTTTCTCTGTGATGGTAGATACATAGCTTGTTTAAAAACTGAGTTCAATGCAGATTTTGCTGACAGCGGTAAGACTTCTCCATGGAAATGGTGTGAAAAACCCCAAGCACTGACTCCTGTCGAGCTCAGTGCTCTGATGTCATTCTACATATCTAAGGTAAGCTACTAATTTAAATTACTTTGATCAGTTACTACTACTACTTAAATTTAACTGATCATTGTGAGAAATATTGGTGTACAATTGACATCAATGCCTTGTAACCCTTTCATGTGCAGATTTGTTATTGTGTGCTAGGTAGTTACACTCTGTGACATAATTGTTACAATGTAGTACCTTAAAAGTAGTTAATATTAAACTATGGGGAAAAAAAAAGATAAAGAAAAAAGAAGGTATTTTAAGGTATTATAATTTATAACCTGAGGTAGACTTACTGTACATGCATAACTACTTACTACTATACTTACGACTTCATAGCCAGATTAAAAACATTAAAGTCATCCCCACATTTCCTCTTATTCTCTTGTGCAGAAGTTCACATTGTAAATGTGGTTGGTATAGTGTAGCAGGTAACACCTCTGCCTTCTACACTGTAGACTGGGGTTCAATCCCCATCTGGGTAAACACCCTACACTATACCAATAAGAGTCCTTGGGCAAGACTCCTAACACTACCTTCGCCTACCTGTGTAAAATGATCAAATTGTAAGTTGTTCTGGATAAGAGCGTCCGCCAAATGTCATTAATATAATGTAAATGTTACCTGTTTATGCACTGCTTTGTTGTGTAATATAGTACGCTGATTATTCACTGCTGTGTTGTCTTTTTCCAGTTGGCAGGCTTTTGCTGTCCTTGTCCTCATCTCAGTTATAGCAATGATTTATAAATGCTGCAAGAAATGTCGTAAATGCCTAGACCTCACTGAAACGGTAAGTTCCCCAAACAGTTCTTGTATAAATCTGCTCACTTGAGTTTGTGTATTATGATGGATGAATTCACAGCTGTGATTCGGTTGCTGTAAGTTATCACAGGCACAGTTTTATTCAGCTGAGGCGTAGGTAGGTCATCAGTGTGCAAATATAAACAAACCTGACTCTTCTAACTACAAGTCTTTCATAATAAAAAAGTAAATCCTTTTAAAGTAGACATAAAGATGGATGAGAAAAAAGAAAGAGAAACTCTAATTTTATTTTTGAAACATGCAGTATTTCTTTAAAACAGAGTTACAGTTAAAGGATGTTTTAAATGCACACCTTTGTGAGCTGTCAAATTTCTGTTTGTGCTGATTCATGTTTAGCCTAATAGCACCACTGCACCTGTTTATCATAGTATCAAGTATTATAATTAACATATATTAAAAATCTGTTGAAATAAGGAGACGTAAGCCCCGATTTAACTGTGACAAGTTAAAAGTCCTGTCTCAAGTATGTCTCTTTTTCACATTCAACTATTCACCATAACGCTCCACCTGGCATTAAATGGTAAAGCAAAAAAGCCCTTCACATTTTTCAAATATATGCTTTTAATATTGAGCTTTCATAAAATCTTAAAATGAAATATCATATGATATGGTTCAGTATCAACTGTTTACACCTATAATAGAAACAGAGATTAATGTGCAATATATTATTAGATATTATACTGAAATTGTCACTAGTTTTATCTAATTAAAATGAATTGCACCAAAACTAAATATTTGTTAAAGAAATTCAAATCAATATATTGAATCAATGAATGAGTGTATAGAGATTGTGGTAACTGTAATACTGTACTATAAAGGCTTATTTCAATAGGTGTTGGTTGTTATAAAGACTTTTGTCAGTTTTGATGTAAAGTTAACACCTTTGTCAGGTGACATTTTTTTTTTATTGGGTGGTCAGACACTTTTGGGGTGAAATGACATAGCATGTTATAACAGCTGTTATTGGCCTTTATATATATCAAATTTAATCTTATAAATAGTAAAAATAAACTTTATTTAAAGGCTTTAGAAATGCTCACTTCCGTACAACTGACTTGGCAAGCGCTGTTATATTATCAGCTTTATGTCACTGAGACATAAACTGAGCTACAAAGTCTGTCATTTCACCCCAGAAAGTGTCATGACAACTTAATGTCAGGAGAAAATATCAATGTCACCTGTCGTAGATGTTATGTCAACCTTGACATTAAAGCTGGGAAGTGTAACCGAGACTGTTTTTCATTGTTACAAAAATAACATTAATACATTTAGTTTGCATTGCTACATTAATAATACACTTAATAAAGTGTATTATGTATAAAGATTATGTAATAAAGTGAGTCTGATCTTCTGTGACCATATATGCCCTCTGCACGTTTATCTCTGGTTCAAGTGATTGAAAATTTTAAATTTAGAGAAATAAAATACTTCTTCTTTATTTTATTTTATTTTATTTTTTGTTTTATGGTTCGTTTGTGAAACTGTAAAATGAAGCCATGTCTTGATTTTTCCACTGACAATAACCTCAAACTGACTCATTTTCCTGTTTTTCAATACTAGTTTTGAAATGAAAATCTAATGACCAATAGATACACGGACCCACAAGCTATCACTTGTTTGAAGCAGCTTACTACATACTGCTCGCATACTGACTGTGTCCAAAAGTAGTGTGCACACACAACGCAGCCTTTCTGGAAGAATGAAACTGCTGACGTAACCACCTGAATATTTTTAATAGCTCTTGATTCAGCCTTTCTAATTTACATTTCAAATGGCAAAATGAAAGAAATTTGACCAAATGCTGCTGGACTCAGTGCCACACTGAAGCCACACCAGCCCTCTCTGTAATGAAAATGAAATGACTTGAAAACAGAGGAAAACAGGTGTGTTTGGAAACTACAAAGACCAATCCAAAGCTGACATTTTTTTAAGTTTATTTGTGGTTTTGGAGACAGGTAGAAAACACCGTCCTGCCCTCTGTCAGGGTGTGGAGTGTCTTTTAGAAGTCACACAGGCAACTCTCAACTACAATATAAATGTACATGCTGGCAAGTGGCTAGCAACAGTTGCTAAGCAGTGATTAAAGGGATGAGGAAAATGGGGCAGGTCTTGAGATGATCTGATCAGCTCAGTGCCTGATGTTGGCCAGCTAGTGGCACCCCTGTCCTGTAGTACAGCACACGGCTTGTGTCGCGTACATAAATACATGCCTATTTTGAATTTGATGCCAACAACACATTCATCACCTCTTCTTTTAACAACACTCTGGGAATTGAGGAGACACTGTTGTAGTTTAGAAAGTGAAATGTTTTCATGTTCTTGTTTGATGTAGGATTTCAGCTGCTTAACAGTTCAGGGGCTCATTTGTTGTATTTTGATTTCATAATGCGGCAAATGTTTTCAGTGTTTGACAGATCTGGACTGCAGGCAGGTCAGTTTAGCACCCGGACTCTTTAAATACGAAGCAATGCTGCTGTAATACATGCAGAATGCGGTTTGACATTGTCTTGCTGAAATAATCAAGGCCTTTCCTGAAAATGATGTTATCTGGATGGCAGTTACCAAAACCCGTATATATCATTCAGCATTAATGGTGCCTTCACACAAGTGCATGTCACCCATGCCATGTGCACTAATGCCCCCCTATACCATCATAAATACTGGCTTTTGAACTGTGCACTGATTACAAGCTGAGTAGTCTTTAGCCCGGAGGACAGTGTCCATGATTTCCGTTTTGAAGAATTTCAAATGTTGATTTGTCAGACCACAGGACACTTTTCCACTTCCCCTCAGTCCATTTTAAATGAGCTCGGGCTCAGAGAAGGTGGCAGCGTTTCTGGTTCCTGTTTATATGTGGTTTCTTCTTTGCGTTTTAGAGATTCAACTTGCATTTGTGGATGCAGTGATGAACTGTTTTCACAGACAGTGGTTTTCAGAAGTGTTTCTGAGCCCATGCAGTGATTTCCACTACAGAATCATGTCTGTTTTTAATGCAGTGCCGTCTGAGGGCCCAAAGATCACGGCCAGCAAATACTGGTTTTTGGTCTTGTCCCTTACATACAGAGATTTCTCCAGATTCTCTGAATCTTTTAATGATATTATGTACCATAGATGATGAAAAGCAAAAGTTCTTTGCTATTTTATGTTGAGAAGCGTTATTCTTGAATTGTTGCACTATTTGATCGTGCAGTCTTTCACAGAGTGGTGAACCCCTCCTCATCTTTACTTCTGAAAGACTCCGCCTCTCTGAGATGCTCTTTATACCCAATCATGTTACTGACCTGTTGTCAATTAACTGGCTGGTTTTTAGCATTACACAACTTTACCAGTCTTTTGTTGCCCCCTGTCCCAACTTTTTTGGAACATGTTGTTGGCATCAAATTGAAATATGGCAGATATTTTTCAAAAAACAATAAAATTTCTGAGTTTCAACATTTGATATGGTGTCTTTGAATGAAATATAGGATTTAAATGATTTGCACGTCATTGCATTTTGTTTTTATTTACATTTTGGACAACGTCCCATCTTTTTTGAAAATGGGGTTGTAGAAGGCTAAGCCTTAACCTGGGGTTGTGGGGGGATGGTTATATGGCCCTGTATAGAACCATCTCAGCTGTGACTGCTAAAGCCCTGTAAAATGAGCCTAGCAACACCAGATCAGATGTATATGTGTGAGACGATGGAGTACTTTACTGTTTCACATGTTCTGTTTTAGGGGGTGTAGCATTACACCCTTAGTGGGTTACACACCTGGTGAAGGGGAATGTTTATTTTATGCACATTGTGAGCACTTACTGTTGTTGCATTAAAGAGCCCTGCTCCTGCGTTTGTACATACGTCCTAATGATTACTGTTACCTGTGTCCTGTTTGTGCTCCTTATTTTCACCTTATTTTTCTTTGTTGTGTGTATTTAATCCTGTTGTTTCCCCTGTGCTTTCCAGAAGCCCTGCTGCTCGGCCCATGGTAAAACCTGCAGCACAGCCCACTGCAAAAAATGCTGTGAACGCCACAAACTAAACTGCTGCGCAGCACACAGAGATATGCCCTGCTTAGCCCACCCTCGCGAAGGATCTGAAAACATTCCTCTTGTGCGCAGGGATGTCATTGCTCCCAGCCCTTGTGACAAAACAAAAGACTGCCCTTGTCTTTGTCACCAATCCTGCTCCTGTGACTGTCACAAGCCCTAGCCCTCGATTGTTACCTACTCACAAATGCAGATCCACCTGATTCAGTTTCCTCCTCTGTTACTGATTCAGTTCCCTCCTCTGTTACTGATTCAGTTTCCTCCTCTGTTACTGATTCAGTTCCCTCCTCTGTTACTGATTCAGTTTCCTTCTCTGTTACTGATTCAGCTCCCTCCTCTGTTACTGATTCAGCTCCCTCCTCTGTCACTGATTCAGACCTCTCCTCTATTACTGGTTCAGTTCCCTCATCTGTTACTGATTCAGTTCTCTCTTCTGTCACTGATTCAGCTCCCTCCTCTGTTACTGATTCAGTTCTCTCCTGTTACTGATTCAGTTCCCTCCTCTGTTACTGATTCAGTTTCCTCCTCTGTTACTGAAAAAATGCTGCGAATGCCACAAACTAAACTGCTGCGCAGCACACAGAGATATGCCCTGCTTAGCCCACCCCCGGAAAGGATCTGAAAACATTCCTCTTGTGCGCAGGGATGTCATTGCTCCCAGCCCTTGTGACAAAACAAAAGACTGCTCTTGTCTTTGTCACCAATCCTGCTCCTGTGACTGTCACAAGCCCTAGCCCTCGATTGTTACCTACTCACAAATGCAGATCCACCTGATTCAGTTTCCTCCTCTGTTACTGATTCAGTTTCCTTCTCTGTTACTGATTCAGTTCCCTCCTCTTTTACTGGTTCAGTTCCCTCCTCTGTTACTGATTCAGTTCTCTCCTCTGTCATGGATTCAGTTCCCTCCTCTGTTACTGATTTAGTCCTCTCCTCTGTCAGTGACTCAGTTCTCTCTTCTGTTACTGATTTAGTCCTCTCCTCTGTTACTGATTCAGTTCTCTCCTCTGTCAGTGACTCAGTTCTCTCCTCTGTTACTGATTCAGTTCCCTCCTCTGTTACTGATTCAGTTCTCTCCTGTTACTGATTCAGTTTCCTCCTCTGTTACTGATTCAGTTCCCTTCTCTGTTACTGATTCAGTTTCCTCCTCTGTTACTGATTTAGTTTCCTCCTCTGTTACTGATTCAGTTCCCTCCTCTGTTACTGATTTAGTTCCCTCCTCTGTTACTGATTTAGTTCCCTCCTCTGTTACTGATTCAGACCTCTCCTGTTACTGATTCAGTTTCCCTCCTCTGTTACTGATTCAGTTTCCTCCTCTGTTACTGATTCAGACCTCTCCTCTATTACTGATTCAGTTCCCTCGTCTGTTACTGATTCAGCTCCCTCCTCTGTTATTGATTCATCTCCCTCCTCTGTTACTGATTCAGCTCCCTCCTTTGTTACTGATGCAGCTCCCTCCTCTGTTACTGATTCAGCTCCCTCCTCTGTTACTGATTCAGCTCCGTCTTCTCCGCCACTGATTCAGTTCTCTCCTTTGCTGTTGATGCAGTTCTCTCCTCTGTTACTTATTCATTTCCAGCCTTTGTCACTGATTCATTTCCCTCAGTGATTCAGGTGTCTCCCTCATCTACAAATTTACTTCACACCTTTTATTTTTATTTATATTACTGATTCAGCATTTCTTTATACAACTTTTGAAGACCCACCCAGATTTGACTCAACTCATCAACTGGTCAGTGAGCTTTCAGACTCCACATGCAAGAGTCGTTTCTCATCATGTTAAGAGCTTGTTCAGATTCTGCACAAGTATTGTGCTAAAATGCATAGTGCACACCAGTGCATATAATTTTGGGTAGGCCTGTGAAAAAGTGTGCATGACACTTTGATAGTATCATTATATCAGGCTGCCTATTCCTGACAGCCATGCAGTCATCAGCTCAACACTAATACCCTGTGGTAATATCACCATATTCCACCAATCAACCAGAATACTGGATTCACATAAAAACACAGCAGCACTTTTTACTATAAAAACTATAGAGCATGTATCTGCTTGCCACAGGTACAATTGCCTAATGAAGACTACATGCCAACTTAATAACAAGTTAAACACAAACAGCTGAGATTTACAAATGCAGGGAAAAAAACAACATCGTAAATCTACAAACCCAAACCTGCTCATCCTAAAGCATTCTGCCACAGCAGACCCAAAGAAAACATCATGACTGAGATAAAATCAGACAGCTGAGATGTGCAAAGATGAGGAAAAACAACACAGCAACCTAAAAAATCTAAACCTAACAATCAAATCCAAAAACATATTGGCACAGGGGGCATAAAAATGTTTATGGTCCATTTGCATCTTACTTTTGATTAATTGAAGTAACACTATTGCACTGAGAACAAACTGAAGGCTTGAGGCAATATAAGACAGTGACAGTTGCAGTGCAGTGATTGGAGGGTTGAGAAAATAAGGTGGAGTTTGGCAGAGAGCATGACTTGCAGAAATCATATGAAATTGCATATGAAACCTTACAAAATTCGGTTTAATAAGTATAATATTTCCACGTTTAATTGGGTAGATCTGTGATCAATCTGGGTGGGTCCAAGCCTCCCCTGGCCTACCTGCTGCTCTGCCCCTGATCCATACATTTAGGAAACTGAACAAAGGGATCCATTTTATGTTAATTTATGTTAAGTATTCTATGTAAGTCTTTGTATTTGTAATTTGTTTGCCATTGGTAATATACTCCTCCTCTGCTGATGCCTGTCTTTATGATTTTTATTTTCATGTTACTTTATGTTTAAGCTGCAAAAAGGTCTAGTAAATGCTTATTAATCCTGTGGTGATGTATTCCAAGTATCCTTTGTGTGGCGTGATGTGTGATAGAGGATATATAGATATTTCAAATATAGATTTTGTCTTGTTAGACCATGTTTCTGTACTCATTACCATGCTACACCTCATCATTAAACTATTAAACATTAAACAAACGTTAAAAGTCTGTTCCAAAATCCACATTAAATGAATATAAATTAACATTTTTAAATACTTGTTTAAATGTTTGTGTGACTTTATGAAAGATATCATTGTTCATTATTTTATAAATTTGACATTCATTATAGATCTAACAGGATACCTGCTAAAATGCATTAACAGATAGAAAAATAAATAGATGTACTTTATTGATCCCGAAGCGGAAATGAAGAAAATTCTTGTCATTTTTTTTTTTCTTCATTTTTTTCTTCTTTGTATTTCAATGTTTAACATGTACATTTATTTCTTTGGTTTAACTAGGAAAATGTCCCAGGTGTTGTAAACTGCTTTTTACATTACTTTAATTTTCAAATATTTGAGAAAACAAAATATAAGGACATAACAACAGCTTAAAATATTTTGAAGAGTTGTCTTTAGATTTGCAAATGCTTTATATTTTCAGTTTTTATAGCTTCTGTTTTTATTATGTTTGTTTAAGACATTAAGGATTTCTGAGATGCTGTAAATGTATATATTATATACATATTTGCTCAAAAGAAACTTGTTATGACACTGTAGCAGGCTCAGTAGGAAGAAGCACCAATGCTTTTTCAAGCCCACATAGAGCTTTTAAGCTCTTTAATGCCACATATAGAGGCTCCCAAGCTGTGCTCTTTTGTGCTGTACTTTATTGTCTCACTTTGAATAAACAGTTCCTGCTACATCTCCTGATTCTTTAGTGTCTGTTTCTAGTCTTGCCTTGGTCTTGACTGAGGTGGTCTTCACTACAGCGCTGGAATGAGCATAAAGGCAGGGATGTGGAGGTGCATTTCTCTTCTCTCAACATTGCCATGCAGGTGCTAAACTGTGGATAAACACCCAGAGGAGATAAACACAGTGCACAGTGAATATGAAGTCCTGTTGATAAAACCATTTGCAGGTCTAGAAAATTTGAGTAACAAATCTGGGCCGGACAGGATTGTGCTGAGGCCTGCGGGTCTTGTGTTTGACACATGGGGTCTAAACTGACTGGAAAGGGCCATTTAACTGACAAACAAACTGACCAATTACAGGCCATTGTTTGCATGTGGCATTTGGGGTGGACAACTTACAAAACAGGACTACATGCAAACGTGCAAGGATATTTTACTTACTAGCCTCTAAATGTTTACAGAAAACTGCTGAATGATTTTTAAAGATGTGACACTGTAAACTTGGTAAGTAACTGTACAGGGACTAAGCAGAAATGAATAGCGCTGCATTAACATTTACACAACTACTATTAACTATGAAGGAGTACTAGTTACTTACTCAGTATGTAAAAGTAATGATTAGGGTAGTTCACTATTACTCGAACAGTAATTACTGAGTCTTATATCTCCTAAAGCACTACTTAGTAACTGTGGCTTCTTTATAAGATCTACTAATTGCCAACCATATTAATATTAACAAAGTAATTTGATAACTTATGTGTGACATTATAAGTCCTGTTATCAGATGTGTGTAAAATATTTTCTTTAGTTATAGACTTCTTTTGCAGTAGCTAAAGTAAACAATGTTCATAGTTAGTACAAAGGACTAGAAATTACGCAAGTATAAATAAATAAATGAAGAAATAAATAATTTAATATATAAATAAATAAATAAATAAATAAATAAATAAATAATTTTTTGGTAACACTTTACATTAAGGGTCGCTAATCAATCATTAAATATATAATAATCAACTATTAGTTTCCCATTATTTAGTTATTAGTTAACTCTTCATTAAGCATTAGCGATTACTTAGTAATTGATTAAGCACTTATCAATTAGTAATTAAGTACACTGTTAGTTGATACGTTAGTTTGTCGTTAGTTTGTGGCTTACTTACTCATTATCTGTGTGCTAATTGCTGCTTATTACATTGTTAATTAACTAATAAGTATTTTTCTTCATATAAAGAAGTGACGTGATAACTTACTAGCATTTATGTGTTAATCCCGCTAATTATCTGTTAATTAACTTTCCATCACCTCCATATATTCAGTTGCTTCACTTTTCTCACTTTGGTTCTTGTTCATTAAAGATGCTTATGGTCACATCTGACTGTAAGAAGAGTGCACACAAATTCATGGACGGTTTTGTTATTCATCACTTTCATCTTGGCATATCTGTACTCATATCTGGTAGGAGTGCATGTAATTTTGGGCATAAATGCTGGATATGTGGCTAATTAACCAAAACTATTATCAACATAATCTGTAATTGCAAAAATAAGAACAATAGAAAATTTCAATAATACTAATTTGTGTGCAAGACAGTCCAGTACAAAAGTGGATGTACTTACTTTACATGCACATTGATATAAACAAGTGCTGCAACTATTTCATGTTCCATTTAAAGACACATTACACTGTGCTTTTGTTTCATACTACTGACTCACAAACACAGCTTCGGTCATACACTGCAATAATACAGTGTTTATTTTAGGGAATTAACTACACTAAACAATCACTCTACTATGTTAACACTGAGTATTTAGTTTTATTTCACATTTTATTTTTCCAGTTGTTTTCATTTTAATACTATTAAGTTTGGTCAGCAGGGGACGAGTGCACTCACTGCTGGACATCAAACTCCACCCACAAGCAGGGCAATTAGCTTTAATGCCGAACACTGCCGTTTTATTGGCTGGTTACTGAAACATCTGCATGAATTAGTGTGTGCTTCATGTAAATGATATGTAAATGAGGTGCTGGTCGGCTGGTTTCATGCACTGAAGCTGATTTATCATTTATGCTCAAATCTCCACTTGTTTCCACATCGTACAAAATTGTTATGAATCAGATGCAGAGCAGTTCAAACCTTATAAAAGGCAAAAAACCGTGTTTTTTTTACGTAACTTTGATGATTAATGGGCCCTTTTCACAAGATTCGTGATTACGTCCGGTTTAAG